TTAAAATGATTTTCTTCTTGTAAGTGTAAAAATATAAAATCAAAGACAAAGAAAATAAACAATAGAAAAGTTTTTTTCACCAGGGTTACCTCTACAAGTTTAACACGGTAATCTCAGTGGATACATAGAAGTCATCAGATATGGAGAAGCTGCAAATAAAGTCTAAAACAAAAAATAAAATAAAGCAAACTGCAGTCATGAATAAGGTGTTTTTTAAATATATTTTTTATATATTTTTCAGTTCATCAGCAGCTGCTTGTGAGCTTGACTCATCATCAAGCAACAATTAAATAAKGAAGTTTTCACCTGTGTTTGTTTTGTTTTTTAAATCATTTATTAGGAAGGATGATCAAATGAAAACAACTAAACAACTGTAAATAATATCCACACTGAAGTTTGGAACAGCGGGTCAGAAACTCGTGCTGGAACGCAGTCTTTTTACACAAGAGATGGTGAGTAAAGCAAACTATTTAGGTAAKTTAGTTAACAACAAACTTTATTTTGAGGGTGGAAACGAGGAAAATGACACATTTCCTCGTCTGGCAGCATTTTCTCCAAAGCGACCTGTCATCTCAGCGCAGACAGCTGCGTTTGGAGAGCAACAATAATGACAAACTCCGCACAATTATTTGTCAACCCTGACAGGAAAGTTATCTGCTCTGGGTCAAATACCGGTGAGCATTTGGCCCGGACCTGTAAAGGACAATGGGCTGTTTTTATTTTTTTTCCTCCACAACCCGTCAGAGTACTGGAGAAGGATGGACGTGCACTTTGGGCCAGATGTGGCACAAAATACAAAATTCTTATTTTATTTTTAAGCTGCTTTGGTCAACACGGATGGGATCAGAGTCAAAACGTTTTTTTTTTTTTTTTTCAGGTGTCAGTCAGTTTTAAGATCAGCCCTATTCAGAGCTGGTACATGTGCGTAAACCCTCTGACTGCTCTCCACCTCGGGTTGCACCTCATTTAAATACTTTATTAATTTATTATCAAGAGTTTGTTCTCATTTTTACATCATTATAGTTATGAAGTTACTGCTTTATGGAAAATACTACACCAACATAAGCATCAAGTAGATGAACTCCAGCTTGCGAGCGCGCACCGTCAGCTGAGCAACGAGAGAGAGAGAGAGAGAGAGAGAGAGAGAGAGAGAGAGAGAGAGAG